TATATCCAACCACCCATTGGTCTATTCTATCTATCCTATTTATCTATTTATATGTCTCTATCTACATCTATTCAATCTGCTTATATCTAGTCTATATCTAGGTAGATCTATATCTATTTATAGGTAGATGATAAGAGATCTCCTGAATTCATATTGATACTTTCAATTCAATTTCAAGACGATGGTTGAGCTTTTACTTATCCTCCTCTCTATTACATCTGTGTCCTCCCTCCCACATCAAAAACACAGACGAAGATGGATTTAGAATATCCCATAATTACTTTTTTCTAATCCCTTATTGCAACACAGCAGTATCAGGGCTAATAGGAGCATCAGCACGATTCCTGAAAACACGAAAATCCTATTTCGCCTATATTCTTCTCCCCCCCGCCACTTTTTATTGTGGTAAAGTATATATAGCATAAAATTTGCCATTTTAACCATTTTAGAGTGTCCAGTTGAGTGGCATTAATTATATTTACACATCACCACCACCTGTTTGCAAAATTTTTCATCCATCCCCCCCCCCAGCCCCCAAACAAAAGCTGTAACTAAGCAGTGACTGCCCACTGCCTGCCACTCCCAGTTCCTGGAGACTTCGTATATCCTTTCTAGCCCTGTGAATTTGCCTATTGTATACATTTTATGTGTCAATCACCCATGTTGAAAATAGTGTACCATATTTATATTGTCAGAACGTGTATCCATCACACACCGTACTTCCTCCTTTGCTGTCATTTGGTCTTAGTTCTGTGGATAACTGCATATTTATGGCTCCCGACCAGCCCTTGTATTGATGTCTCCTGAGTTAACTGGGTGTGTGGAGCTTGTTCTCTGGTAGACTCCTCAGGATGGGCTATGGGATCAGTATCCCATGACCTCTTGCATGTTGATAATATTCTCTGTCCTTTATACTTGAAAGTCATTTTTGTTATATTTGAAATCTGTGGCTCTTTCCTTGACTATATAAAGGATGTTACTCTTCTTTTTGGGGGGGTGCAAAACATCTATCAAAATCTGATAGACAGTTTTCTTTCCCTTATAAGTCATGTGTTCTCTTTTTCTAGCTGAATGATTTTTTTTAAGTCCAGTCATTTTACTAGACTATATCTTAATATTAGTCATTCTGGGCTAATACTCTCAGGTATGCTGTGTACTATTTCAATGCATAGTTTTATTTTTTTATTTTAGGAAAGTTTTCTTGAATTACAGTCTTTAATATTTGTTCTGTTCCTTTGCTTTGGTTTTCTCCTTCAGAAAGAAGATCTCCTTGGCCTATATTCAATATTTGTCACTTTCAATTTTTTTCTCTTAAATCATTTAAAAATTTTTACTTTCAGATAATTTTATTTTTTATTTTTATTTAAATTCAATTAGCCCACATATAGTACATCATTAGTTTTTGGCATAGTGTTCAATGATTCATAAGTTGCATATAACTTTGAGATAATTTTAGATGCACATGCAGTGTAAGAGATAATACAGAGAAATTCTAGATGTTTCCCCCAGTGGTGATACCTTGCCTAACTCTAGTAGAATATCAAAACCAGGAAATTGACATTGATACAACCCACCAACCTGATCAGATTTGACCAGCTTTGCATGTACTCATGTATGCATTTAGTTCTATGCAATTTTGCCACATGTATAGATCATATGAGCACCACTACAGAAGACTTTTGTCACAAGGATCCCTTTTAGAGCCATAGCCACCTCCTTCCTCTTCAACCCCCCTAATCCCTGGCAACCAGTAGTCTAGTCTCCATCTCTATCGTGCTGTCATTTCAAGAATATTATACAAATGGAATCATACAGTGTATAACCTTTTAGAATTGGCTTTTTTTTTTTTTTTAACTTAGCCTTATTCCCTGGAGATGCATTCAAGTTGTTGGATATACCAACAATTCATTCCTTTTTTTACTGTGTAGTATTCCTTGTATGGATACACCACGATTAGTTTAACTATTCATCTCTTTTTTTAAATTTTATTGTTAATCACCATACATTACGTCATTAGTTTTTGATGTAGTGTTCCACGATTCACTGTTTGTGCATAACACCCAGTGTTCCATGCAGAACGTGCCCTCTTTAATACCCATCACCAGGCTAACCCATCCCCCCACCTCCCTCCCCTCTAGAGCCCTCAGTTTGTTTCTCGGAGTCCATAGTCTCTCATGGCTCGTCTCCCCCTCTGATTTTCCCCCCTTCATTTTTCCCTTCCTGCTATGGGAAGGGTTTGTGCTATGGTGAGTGCTGTGAATTGTGTAAGACTGTTGGATCACAGACCTGTACCTCTGAAACAAATAATACATTATAAGATAACTATTCATCTCTTGAAAGACTTCTGAGCTGATTCCGTCTGGGGGCTATTACAAATCCAGTTATTAGGAATACTGATGTACAGATTTTTGCTCATGTACAGTTTCTGCCTGCTTGCTTTCCAGTGGATACCCCTTGACTCTGCTGGGGTCCCCTTGTCCTCAGGCCTGTCACTTGCTGCCCCAAATCCCGACCCCCCCCACCCCCCCAGGAAGGATTCCATCCATCACTGGGCAAGGCTTGTGGGTTTATGGTTCATGGAGATACTTCCTCATCTGGTTTTGTTACACATGTTATCCATGGGCTTTTGCTCTTAACTTTTTCTCTTTTTTTCTGTGGATGCCACCACCACCTCCATTCTTCATCATAGAATCTATACCTTAGCATGTATTTTTAAAATATGTTTTATTCTGTATTTCTATAGTTGTGGCACGAGTAGAATTCACACACTCCAGCCAGCATGTTTTCACTCCTTAGTCCAGTCTTTCAGGCTCAGAAGCCGTGCCTAGATGCCTATATTAGCTCTTAGCTATTAGCTGTCCTTTGAGCAAGTTAATCAACCTCTCTGTACTTCAGTTTCTTTGTGTATGCAATGGGGATAATGATAGATAATGATAGAAACATCTTCATGCGCTTCCTGTAGTACTTAAATGAGGTAATGCCCGTCAGATTCCTAGAATAGTGCCTGGCACATAGTGATTGCTCAGGTAAATTTTAATTATTACCATTTTCATTGCATATCTGTGTTCTAATTCAGGGGGTATGGATGTTAAAGCTTACCTCTCAGAGAGCATTCTTCTTCCGTTTTGAAGTTCTTGGGGAAATACTTTATCAACCAAGAACTAACATATCTTACTGTATTTTTCCTTTTAAAAATGTTGTTAAAGTAAATTTACATACATTTGGACTTGACTTGTTATCTACACTTTGAATATTATTTTTGGCCTATCATCATCAACTTGCTCAGGAAAGTAGTACCAGCCTCCTGTCCTGGGCCTGCAGGTAGCACGTGCTCAGTCACGAACTTAGGTGTGACTGTGGTGTAGACCCTGACTTGGGAGTGACTGTGGTGCAGCCCCTGCCCTCTGGGCGTGTATGTGACTGGGACTGGCCGTCACTGCCTGCCCTATGTTCCAGCACTCTGCCCCGCCTGGACGCCCCTTATCCCATGTTGGTGCTAGCTGGTCCTGAAGCCTGTGGGAAACGAGAACTGGCTCACCACCTCTGCAGACAGTTCAGCACGTACTTCCGATACGGGTAAGTGTGTTCGTGTAAGGCTGTACATTGTCGGCTGTGGCTGCTAATTTTAAGCAAGCTCAAAAAGGTGCAGAGAAGGCTCATCAGCTTCTTTGCCGTTTATTACACTGTGATAGATACCCTGTACTTTATTTATTTGTTGTACTTTATTCCTCCAAATGTTTACCTTTCTTCACTGACAGCTCACATCACTCTCCAAGGGTTGAAGATCCACGTGTTTTTAGTGAAGCGTGGTGGCATCAGAGCCCGGGCTTGTCCTGTGGCCACGGGACGCCACAGCACGGATAGTGTGGTGACAGGTGGCGGGCTCGGTGCTCAGAGGACCTGTGAGCTCCTCTCCCCTCCTCCGCTGGACTCACACCACTGCACCTCCACTTCCTCATCTCCACTCGGGGCGTCCTCTTTTGAGGCCTATTTCAGGAGGAAGGAAAGAGAAATGACGGCAAATGTTTTTCCTTTCCTTTCCTTTCCCTCGGGCTAGCATTCAGTGCACTCCCGTTTTCTGGAGCAAACGTTTTGCTGTGTGATTCCCTCATGGTCCAGTTAAAATAGAGGAGAATATCAAAAACATGAGGACCATTCAAAAAAAATCTTCAGCTGGACTTACAGACTACTTAAAGGATTCTGGGAGTCAGAGTTAGAGTCACCAATGTGGTCTTTTAAACTGGTTTCCTCTTAATTTTTACCTATGGCAAAGCAATTACCTTTAGATTAGTAATGTTTGTCGGTGACCGGAGGAGGGGATTGCAAAGCTATTTTGGACAGCAAGAAAAATAAATACAAATTATTTTCTAATGCCTTTCCTTCCCTTAAGCTATATATGTTCAAACAATGTAAATACTATTTGAAACAGGTCCATTTAGGGGTGCCTGGGTGGCTCAGATGGTTAAGCGTCTGCCTTTGGCTCAGGTCATGATCCCAGGGTCCTGGGATCGAGCCCCGCATCGGGCTCCCCGCTCTGCGGGAAGCCTGCTTCTCCCTCTCCCACTCTCCCTGCTTGTGTTCCCTCTCTTGCTGTGTCTCTCTCTGTCAAATAAATAAAATCTTTAAAAAAAAAAAAAAGGTCCATTTACTTAGATATCTAAAATTACATCCCTCATTTGAACAACTCTGGGATCCAAATATATAGAATAATTTATTTACTAATATATTTTAAGCCCCCTGAAGTAACAAAAATAAATTAAAACTTAACATTAGAATAAAAAAGTATAGAGTGCCATTTTGCCTGTATAGGGGTACCAACCCTGTTTTGAAAGATAAGTAGAACGAAATGAATGGAAGGTCAAAGTCGGTCAGAGAGGTATATCCCAACTATAGTGCCAATGTAAACCCGGAACTTTTAGCAAACCAGAATGCTGGGAACCAAGGCTTTCTCGGATTAAAATTCCTTTTAATTATGTTGTAAAGGTTGAGAGCCAGGTCCTTCAGATGTGTTTGTGATACACGTTACGGAGGCGTGCGGGATCAGATGTGTTCTCGGAGGTGTTCATTAACTCATTACTAAGATTGTGAGTCAGTCTGCCTCTCTCTTCTCACCTGGATGGGCCTTCTTCTTATTCATTTTTATTAAATCCCATTTCCCCCCATTAGAATGCTTATCCATCATGCTTGTGATTGATTGATTTAATGTTTGTCTTCCCTACTCATCTGTAAGCCCAAGGAGGGTATGGACCAGTGTCAGCTTTGCCCACTGTTTGGTTCTCGGAGTTCAGCAGATGACCAGGCACTTAATACCTACATGAGAAATACTTGTTAACCAAGTGACAGATTGAGTGAGAGCACGGGATGAATGAATTAAGGGTACTGTAAGCCACATTTCATGGGAAATTACTGTGACAAGAAACAGAGGTGATTTTCCACAACTACCACTGATGGATATATGGGGACATGAATGGATTCATTCATTTGTTGACCAATTCTTTCAGTAAATATTTATTGAATTCCTCCCATGTGCTAAGCCCTGAAGATACAGCGAGAACAAGATTGACAGTGTCCTCGCTTTAATGAGATTTGTAATCTAGTGGGGAACTCAGACCTTTAATTAGTGTCGTGCATAGTTTGTATGGAGGCACAAGGCAGCGAAACAGAACCTTAAGACTAGCTTCGTGCCCGCAGGGTTACTGCGGCTGCCATCGTTCTCCTCCGGATGGAATTAGTGGCACGTGTGGAAAGACACTCCTAACTGCCTACTCACTCCCCCACCTCCCCCGCAGGCTCCGAAGCACTGGCCCGCCGTTCACTGGCGTCCCCTTGGAGGCAGAGATCGGGTCTTGCTCAGTGGCACATCATTCTAAAAATTCCATCGAGGCATGGATCAAAGATCATATCATTGGATTAAAAAAAAAAAGTACTAGATAGCTAGTAATGTCATCTGTGGAGAAGGTAAGGCAGGACTACTTTACATGCAGCAACTTTCTAATTAAAACAAATGATAAAACCAAAGCACATCCTCAGAGGCAAGTCATTGCTCTTATTTAGGTTTTTTAATTCCTTATCCAACATAATTTTTATTGATTTTTAATTAAATGGGGGGAAGGCATGAAAACAGTTTCATCATGACACATATAAGTATTTACAAAGGCACTTTCTCTGCCGTTTGCTTGAATCTTCTTTCCCATCTATTTCATTTTCTCATGGTATTCTGTCTTCCCTTTTTTAAATTACATTGACCCACGACTGAGACATTCAGTGAAATTCTCACACACTAAGTTGTATATCCGGATATATCAGTATTAAAAGCATAACGTGGTGGTCTAACAAGTATTAGAATAGCTGAGAGATCTTGTTCTCGTTTTAGGTTTTGATTTTTCTATTCTTGGTTTTAGAAATAGGTTGGTTGTTCTTTCTTTACCTCTATTAGTTCTACATGGAGATAGGAATTTACTGCCTTCAAAATCTATTTCCAACCTTAATATTATCGCACAAACCAGTGGCTCCCTGGCAGAGTAATGAATAAGGAGAGAAACATAAAACAATGCTGGTATACCTGTCCAACTTCCAGATTTAAGAGTGAGCTGAATAGTCATGAAAGGAAAACTTTATTCTTCTTTCTGAGATCTCCATTTTACAGCAGTCTCTCTTTTTATAACCTTTTTCTTGATGTGACTACTAAACATCTTTACTTTTAGTACGATAGTACAGTAAAGTAAAAGACCACAGCTCTTCAGCTAAATGAGATGTATGAGCTGCAGCTACCTTCATGCAGTCTAATAATCTAAGGTCTGTTTATCCAGATGTGACAAACCAGTAGAATGGTTCCTTTGTTCACCTAATCAGTGTTTATTGAGCACCAGCCCTGTGCCAGCAGGAACTGTAGAACAGACAGGCGTGGGTCTTGTCCTGGGAGCTTACCATCTAGTATTGGATTCAGGCAGGTTGGTGCTGGCTAACAGGATGGTTTGATGGGTGCTGTGCTGAGGGGAGTAAAGAGCCTCTGGGATAGAAGATGTGGAAGACACATGGGATGTGGAACTTGAGCAGGAGCGCCTTCCAGGCGGGAGGAACGACAGGCAGGTCTGATGAGCTGTAAGTACAGGCCGGAGTACTGGAAGTATGCAAGAAGACAGCAGAAGATAAGACCAGAGACATAGACAGGAGTCTGAGCATAAAGGATTTGTAAGCAGGGAGTGTCACGAGGACTGCTGCATTCCAGAAAGCATGCCGTGTGGGAAGCTCGGCCGGGGGGGGGGGGGGGGTACTGGAGACAGGGGGACCAGCTGGGGTACAGTCACAGCTCACGAAGGCATAAGTTAAAAAGCAGCATGCCATTACTGGAAAGTGGACAGGGCAGTGGCTTCCTGGAATGGGATACTCAGACGTGCTGCTGGAATCTTGTGTTGATGATCTCTTTAAATGCCCAGCAGTTAACTGATGTATATTTGCATTGAGGGTTAGGACCAATTTAATTTTCCTACTGAATGCCCTAGGAAGACCTGGGCTCTTGTGAATAGCCTTTGAAAGAGTTCACTTACTAACAATACGGCGTGCTATCATGTGCTTGAATTTATTTATTTTTAATTTTTTATTTATCTTTTTTTTCCCATGTGATTAAATTTTTTTTTAATTATGTTCAGCTAGCCAGCATCTAGCACATCATTAGTTTCTGATGTCGTGTTCAACGATTCATTAGTTGCGCATAACACCCAGTGCTCATCACAACACGTGCTTGAATTTAGATGTGCTCACAGCTAAACCTCTGCCTAAATATTTGCAGTAACAAGAAGTTTGTTATTTCCTGAGGCCATCTGGTCCAGAATGGAAATTCTAAAACTGCATGCTTCTGAATCAAACTCAAAAAATTTCTACTCCTCATCCAGCTGCTAGCTCTTCTCAGACATCTTTTCTTCCTATTGCATTTCCCTGAATATTTTGCCATTCCACTGTTTGGTCTGACCTTGCGGATTCCTTCCCTTCCTGATCATCTCCTCTTCTCCATAGACTTGATTTGTTAGGATCCTCCAGGACAGCTGGCCCATGAACGGGCCTTTTGAACGTCTAAACTCACTCTTAGACTCTCAGGCCCAGTGTTGTAGTCTGACGTTCATCTCTAACTCACTTCTTTGGTGTGGCTCCCATTGCAAACCATGAGTTAACTAATTCACCATGACTTAACTAGTAAATTAATTAGTAAATAAGAAACTCACGGAAATCTAAATTACAAATGGAATTGTACTGAGACCAGGGAGAAGAAGGACACCGAAGGTGATGGCCCAAGCAGATTTCTTTGTCTAAAATTTGGCATCATTTTTTTTCTAAGTTTAGTGAAACACTGCTTTCACTGTGCAGAAGTTCCTTTTTAAGATGTTCACATTTGGGCAGCATACTCCACAGCGAACATTTCTGCATGTGAAAATTGGATGACAGGATTCAAAAACCCACAGGTCATCTTAGGTCCTTCGTAATAGAAGGTTCTGCGGCGGATACAGGCTCTGTCATCCGCGTTCTCCACCTCACTGAAGCCTTCTCTCTATTTACCTGCCTAGAAGCTTCAAATTACTTCTTTGCTTTGTCTTCCTTTTAGAAATACTGAAAAAATTCCTGCCGCTCAATTCCTTTGTTGGAAAATGCAAATCCAACACTGCGTGTGAAGGCTACGCTAAGGGTGTACAGCGCAGGATGCCAAGTCCCTGAATTATCTTCCCCGCCTGTCAAGGACACCAATAGACAGAGGGTCCCAGGGCCCTGCCACGGTGTGTGAAGAAATGCCAGTGTATTCACACAGCAAAACAAATACCATGTGTTTTGACAGTCTTTTCTTAGAATATACTCTCCTTCCTGGGTCTATAATTTAAATACAATGTTAAGAACTTAAAATTTACTAGTCTAGTTAATTTTTTTTTTAAGATTTTATTTATTTATTTGAGAGAGAATGAGAGAGAGCACATGAGAGGGGTTAGGGTCAGAGGGAGAAGCAGACTCCCCGCCGAGCAGGGAGCCCGATGCGGGACTCGATCCAGGGACTCCAGGATCATGACCTGAGCCGAAGGCAGCCGCCCAACCAACTGAGCCACCCAGGTGCCCTAGTCTAGTTAATTCTTGATGATAATGGAAGGGGAACGGTGGTACAAATTATAGAAATTGGACTCTGTAACAGGAGAGGCTTTTGAGGTTACACCTCTATGCTCTTGGCGCTATAGTAAAAGGAATTGACGCAGAGTCGCCTTGGCGTTGCTATTTAGTCCCCTTACTTAATTCCTGTGCCTCAGTTTCATCATCTGTAAAATGGAAATGGCAATACTCGCCTCATGGTTTTTTGTGAGGAAGGAATGAAATAACATGTCAAATGTCTAGCTATTCTCAACTTCTCCCTTAAAAACTACAGGATACTACGAAGATCAGTTTGCATTGCATTCCCCAAACTTAACACTAGGAAGTCAGAATGGTATGAAATCAAGAGTCGTGGGCTAGTTGGGACCCCATTGTCTATTTCTGGGACTGACACTGGTCGGCTCTGTGGCCTTAGACGAGCCATCTTTATTGTCTTCCACCAAATGGAGTTGATCACACCTGTTACCGCCCTCACAGGTGTCATTTACTGGTTCATGTTACAGATAACTAGTGACTGCCTGCATGGGGACCAGGCTTGGGGAATGCAGTAGCAAGTAAGATGAACAAGATAAAGTCCTCTCCTCATGAGTTGTACGTCCTGCTGGGGAAGACAGGGAAAACCCTGATATGTGGATAAAGGAAGGCAGTTTTGGTGATAGAGAGTAAGTGGGGCGTGGGGACGGGGAGGGGATGCTGTCGCATACAGTGATCGAAAAGGGTCTCTCTGGTTGAGCTGAGAACTCCACTCATGGCTTCCCATGGGAGGCTCATAGTTGGTGTTTATAAGCACTGACAGCACTGAGGAGGTGGGGTCCTGAGCAAGGAACTGGGATGCAGTTGGTGGCAGGCATTGAGGCTATGAGCATGTAAAGAAGAGGTGCATAATCAGCGATAGGAGGTCAAAAAAGGCTTTTAGGCGGCGGGGGGGAGATACTTAACTTGAGTCCTGGAAGACAGGTGGGCCAGCCAGGTGAGGGATGAGGAGGGGTGTGGGGAAATGCCCACAGAGCAGAGAGGACACGAAGACTCTTGGGTGGAAATATATGAGTAATGAACTGAAGTAGTAGTGTGTGAGGAGGTGGTTCAGAGGTGATCAATAACAATGGGTCAAGATTTGGTGTGGATAATCCTGAATTTGTATAATCCTTGTAGAGTGTAGCAGCTGAAGGTAGTCTAGCACTTCAAAACCACAGTGTTTTCAGAACTACGTTCGTTAACCTCACAATTCATGATTCGTGGATGAATTTCAACTTTTTAAAACCTACTTTTACCCAGACCTTTTGCATTTTGAATCCCAAGCTGCTGGAAGTAGACCAGTTATCTACTGTGTTTTCAGGGCCTGCCACACCACAAGACCGCCTTACTTTGGAGAAGGGGATCGAGTTGATTATCATTTTATCTCTCAGGAAGTTTTTGATGAAATGCTAAACATGGTAAGAACATTTTCCTTTGTCTGTATTACACAGGAAACACACGTCCTCTGGTAGCAATATTAGGAACTAGTGATAACAAAGAGAAAAATGTTGTTTGTTATGAGAGAAGTGTTCTTGGGTTGTTTTTTCTTAAGCCAGGTATACATCCTTGTTGACATGCAGCTTTATTTTAGGATCTTGGAGAGAATGTTGTAAATTTTCAGTAAAGCTCAATGAGTAGACGTTTTAAAAAAATGGAAATGAGAGCACTACGAAAAGTTCTTGTGATCTGTGTTTATCATGCGCTGCTGTTATTAATCAGACTTTACTCAAGATAGGCAACTCTCACAGACAGAGCTGATGTGCGAAGCTTATGAATTGAGCCTCCCTTGGTGTTGGAGTTTTCTGTCCAGAAACCACTCCTGTTTGCTATCACTGATGCTTTTTTTTTCTTTTTAAGATTCTATATTTATTTATGAGAGAAAGAGAACAGGGGGAAGAGCAGAGGGAGAGGGACAAGCAGACTCCGCGCTGAGTGCAGAGCCTGATGTGGGGCTCGATCTCAGGACCTGAGCTGAAACCAAGAGTTGGACCCTCAACCAACTGAGCCACCCAGGCACCCCATCACTGGTGCTTTCTACTGGTTGTAGCTCTAAGCGTCATTTCATCATGGTATGTCTCATTCAGTTGCTGTCCTGGACACATATATAGCCTTAATCTTCCACATTATACATCAGTGCAGGTAATTGTGGTACAATTAAGCATGGGATCTGCAGTTTCTATGAGTTTAATTTTGAATGGCCAGCTTTACACATAGTGCATGTTTTCTCTTGCGTTCACAGAGAAACCCAAGTGAGAAAGTCCTGTAATCCCTAGGCCATTTCCCCTCTAACCTTGTCAAAAGAACATCTTGGAGATTCTTTATAATCTTCTCTCCTAGGGCTGTATTTTGGTAGTTCATTTGAATGTATCCAGAGTACTTGGGATTTTTATATTTCTAAAAGCCTTAATAGAGATAGGAAGCATTATCTTGATATTAGTAAGAAGGATTCCTTTAGGACTCTTTGGGTTGAAAGACAGCTAGTTCCCGAAATTCATGTTAATTTCTCTTGTTAGAGTCTGAGGCATTTTTTTCTTGGTTCAGTTCATCTGTTCTCAGTACCCCATATGCTCCCCTGACGTTCCATACCTCATTGGATCGGTAGTAAGTAAGTCTGGTTCAATTCCTAGTCTAAGAAATCGCTGTACTTACACACCATATTTGGTTTTACAGTTTGACTCCCTCTACAAAATCCTTGTACGGGTGCGTAGTCCTTGTTTTTACTGCTTCTTCTAACGTATATTACTTCAGTATAATGTCATTTTCTTCAATTTGAATTTTGCTTCTGAGCTCCTTTTCCTTAAAGCGAGCTAGAGACTGTTTCTAAGAGGCAAACCTAGTGGGACGCCTGGATGGCTCACTCGTTAAGCGTCTGCCTTTGGCTCAGGTCATGATCTCAGGGTCCTGGGATGGAGCCCTGCATCGGGCTCCTTGCTCAGCGGGAAGCCTGCTGCTCCCTCTCCCACTCTCCCTGCTTGTGTTCCCTCTCTCACTGTGTCTCTGTCAAATAAATAAAATCTTTAAAAATAAAAAAAAAGAGGCAAACCTAGAGGTTATAACTCATGACATATTGTCAGCTTCTCTGGTCACACCAACACACTCAGCCGTCTGTATATACAACCCCCCTCCCCGGAACAGCCACCCAGACCGCCTGCCACCCCACCTTGGCAGTCTACCCTGCCGTACCCAGGCCCTGGACACCTCCTGTGGACAGTCACACCCACCCACTCCTCCATTCCCTCATCACCAACACCTGGAATTGCCACCCCACCACATGCCTACAGACACGTGAACCTTTCTTAAGGACATAAATGCAGTCACTTCCCTGAAGATATTCTTCCTCTCTTATTGAAGTAAGATCACAGACCTGGAGTCTCCTGAAATATGATTACTGCTGTTTACTAAGAAATCCGCAAGCAGGAAGATGTATCCCCAGCCAGAAGCTGGAGGACCGCTTAATCTCAATTCTTTAAAAAAAGATTAACAAAGCCTGTTTTATATATAAAAGCACAATGTCAGATTCTTCCCAGCTCTGCATTCTCCCAGGAAATATCTTTGGGGTCCACAGAGGGAGGCCCTTGTGTGCACCTGTGTACACACAAGTAAACAGATGCGTAGTATGTATCTGAAACGTGATTCAAGAGTACATTTTGAGGGGCACCTCCGTGGCTCAGTTGGTTAAATGTCCAACTCTTGATTGCGGCTTAGGTCATGATCTCTGGATTGTGAGATTGAGCCCCGTGTCAGGCTCCACACGGGGCATGGAGCCTGCTTAAGGTTCTCTCTCTCCCTCTGCCCCTCGCCCACCTCCAAAAAAAAAATACATTTTGAAAACAGGGCAAGTCACAGTAAACAAGAAAAAGTATATACCTGATGGGAGATTCAGTATCTTATCTACCTATATAGATGCGCTATATATATATATATATATATATATATATATATAAAAGATGTCCTAGTATTTGCTCCAAAGAACAAAGAAGGTATGACATTGAAGGAGTAAAATATTAGGATATTTATTGTTGAGTTTTTAACGTTTAGAATGCATGATATAAACTTCTTTGGATTACGAGGTGTGTAGATTTTCCTTATCACTCCTAGCAGACACATTCACTAGAGACCCACCCCACCACAGCAGATATTTTGTGTCTCATGGACTTCCAGGCCCCCCGTCCCAGGACAGATAGCCTGTCCCCGATGCCTAAATCTCCAGGATGTCTGGGGCCAGGAGGCAGAAGTAGCATAAAGGACTCCTAATTGCTACTGTTCTTAATGATGATGCCGCCATTTGATGGGATTCAGTTGATGGGATTCAGCCTTGCAAGTTTTCATTTCATCATTTCTTCCAAAATCCCATGCATGAGGAGCCACAGTTGCCAAGATCATCCATATTTTTATTCCTTCTTTTGTGACCAGCTTTCCAGTTTAGATGAGACCTAGTAGCTTAATAAATATAACATTGTCAAAGAAAAAGTCAACTTCGAGAGGCATGTTTTAACTTGGACTGTTTTGCAAGGGAGTACAGCTTTGGGAAGAACTGGGCTTCCAGAATGTAGATAGAAGGCAGTATTTAAACCTCAAATGACTGTAGGGCACACAACAATTCTGTTGAAAAACACTTGGGGCGGTATCAATAAAAAGCTGTGTTTTATAAGGAAAAACAGAATTGGGTCTGTTTTTCATGGCTTATCTCAGGATGCAACGGGTTTTGGATGTCCCTGTAATTCATGGCCTTCAGGCTTATCTGGGAATGCAGGGCTTTCAAGAATGGGAGCTTTTTCTGAGGTACCTGGCCTACCTGCATAGCTGACATGGCAAAGGGCGAGCTGTCAGTTTTGCTTTCTCAGTAATGACCGTTTATGGTGCAGGTTTGGCAAGGAAGCAGGTAAACAAGCAAAATGATCTGTTCTACCAGAAGCTTCAGTGCCTTCGCTCTCCCCACGTCTTTTGTCAGCAGACTCCGGGAGCTCCAAAAACTTAATTTTTTTTTTTTGCCAGCTGAGACTTCTGAATAAATTTCTCTACCGCATTTTGATATTAAGTTTCGTAAGCCCATCGTCAGCCTTCGATTTGTAAGTTTTATGGAAGCATATAAAAGTAAGACATCAAATAATTTCATTTATGTTAACTTTCGTTATGGCAGCTGTTATATGAAAATCTCTGTACTTCTCAAATTTCAGGGGAAATTCATTCTAACATTTAATTATGGTAATCACAGTTATGGATTAAATAGGGACACCATAGAAGCTATCGCCAGAGACGGTTTAGCAAGCTGTATTCACATGGAAATAGAAGTAAGTGTTTTTTCATTCAGTCAATTTATTTTAATGTGTGTGTGTGTGTGTGAGTCTGTATATATATATTTGGGGCTGAGGAGAGGGCTACGAATGCAGGTAGCACACTGCCAGGCACAGGGGGAAGCTTATAGTTCCTATGGGGGGGGCCAGACATGAACACTTAAATGACAGGAGTTACTCTACAAGACGTGGCTTGCACGTACCCTCGGGGTAGAAGTGCTCCTCGGAATTTACTTTCTAAGTTAATTTCCTCACCAAATTATCCCTTTTAGGGCATGGTCTCTGTTTATATAAAGTGATATGAAGTAAAGGTCCTTCTCACAGGCTGTGGGGCAGGTGCGTGGCCCCCTCAGGACCTGCCTGGGCAGCTCTGCACAGCCGCCCTTGTTCTCTGCTTCCTCGGGGGAGACGTGTGCGCTGTGCCCTCATTGACCCCCCTTGCTCGCTGGTTCCAATCCTTTCCAGCTCTGAGCGATTTAGACTTGCAGAATTCAGGAGACTTCCCTCTCTGCCCCTATATCCCATCCTCCCCAGTGACCTTCTGTAATTAGAATACGCAGAAGTTTCTCTCCAATCCAGATCCAGAGTAAAACCATGACTATCCTACTTATTGGTTTTAAAAATAGATAGCTTTATTAACTATGTGAAGTCTTTAAAGACAGTTGATCGTCTTTTTAAGGTACCTTCACCGACCGGTCTAACAGTTTTGTAGTCAGAGAAAAAAGTTAGAAAAATGATTCCATTAGATCAAACTTATAGAAAACAGAATCTGGGCTGGTCAGATATTCCTTTACTATCGACTCAGAAACTTCTTTAAAACTTGTCTCCTTTGTAACTGGGCAGAGGAGGAGACTGACTCCTTTTTGGCTCCTTGGATTGGGGCGTTGCCTCACTTCAGTGAAACTGGTCACGTTTCTTCCAGCTCTTCAGTTTTTCTAACTTCAAAATCCTGCAGTTCTCATCTTTCCACAATTGATTACGTTTGCATCTTTAAGGAGGTTTCCTGTGTTTCTATGTTAATAACCAAAAATATCTTCCTCGGACAAGGCAGAAACTCTCCAGCTCCTTGTGCTTACCTTCTTCCAGTTCACTGGTTCTCTGAGTGCTGGCTCCTGTCTTTTTCCTCCCTGAGAACTTTCTCCTACTCATTTTCAAGAGGTTGACTCTATAAACCAGGCCTGATGTCCCTGATTCTCCCAAGCGAAAGCATTTCTCCGAACTGCTCTAGTCATTGGCACTTTTAGAAATTATTTTTTAAAAGATCCCATATTTCACTCCCACTCCCCCCGCTGAATGTTTAAAACAAAGATTTTGAATGTTAAACTAAACTACTGATGATGGGATCAAGGAGGAAGGAGCTTTAGGGTTCATTTGGAAGGGCTCTTGCATTTCAGCTAGGAGGAAATTAGTGCTCGGGGAGCAATTGTGGGATTTGCTCGCGGTCTGCAGGAGCTGGGGAGCCGCAGTTATTCACCACCCAGCCCTCCTGATCCACAGACCACCACCCAGCCCTGCTTCTTGGCATGAGCTCCTGGCAGCTTGGCTCTCCCTTGCTCTGGGTAGAAGCTGTGAGATGTAATAGGAACCATCCAACCAGATTGCTGGTTTAGGAATAGGACCGGTCCCAAGGAGATGACAAAGGGGTAACAAAGGAGCCTTTTTTCCCTGGTAAGATCTTTATCTCCTGGAGCTGTAAGGGTGCTCTTTTAAATGTAGACTTGAAATTACTTCTGAGTGGGGTGCCTGGCTGGCTCAGTCTGTAGAGCATGCAACTCTTGATCTCTGGGTTGTAAGTTTGAGCCCACATTGGGTATAGAGATTCCTTAAAAATAAAATCTGAAAAAAGAAAAAAAGAAACTACTTTTCAGTACTAAAGATGCAGCACTACTGTGAAGGTACCTGTTTTATTCTGGCAATTTTCTTTTTGTTTTTCTTTCTTCTTTCTTCTTTTTTTTTTTTTTTAAAGAGAGCATGAACAGGGAGGGGGGGAAGGGAGAGGGAGAGAGAATCTCAAGCAGACCCCATGCCCAGTGTGGAGACCAAAACTGGGCTCGATGTCATGATCCTGAGATCATGACCTGAGCTAAAATCAAGAGTCGGACACCTAACCAACTGAGCCACCCAGGGACCCCTAGCAATTTTCTTTTTTAACCATCATGTTTATTAGAGTAGTCAGTTAGAGGATAACCAGGTAGTTCTTTTATTTCCAATAACAATATTTGATGAACAAAGGGAAGTAATCCAACTTTGAGATCTTTACAGGAAAATAATAGCTAATTGTCCAAATAAATCTTTTAATACAAGACTACTTATTACACCTATGTTGTCAGATGTCTCCAACATGATTTCTAAAGTGTGTATCTGGTTCTAATTTATTCCCTTTTCTTTAAACAAATAGGGTGTAAGAAGTTTGAAATTTTCCTATTTTGAGCCTCGATATATCCTGGTGGTGCCCATGAACAAGGAAAAATATGAGGGATATTTGCGGAGAAAAGGATTATTTAGTCGTGTAGAGATTGAATTTGCTGTCTCTAGAGTGGACCTTTATATTAAAATCAACCAGAAATTTCCAGGATATTTTGATGCAATCATCAATGCAGGTCAGTAACTTTCAGCAAAGTTTTATTTTTGAAGTGTAAGGTCACTGGGGGAAAATCCTCTCTAACGTACATTCTTAACTGTTGGCTGACTGCAGTTTCTTGTAGGACTGGGGTCCCTTCTTCTTTTGTTGGCTCTCTGCCAGGGGTTGCCCTCTGTCCTAGAGGCTGCTCCCAGGTCCTGTGCATGTGGCCCTTCTGTCTTCAAGCTGGTAATGGCACATCACATTCTCCTCATGCTTCAAGTCTCTGCTTTCCTCTTCTACCAGAAAACTCTCTTCCTTTATGGGGCTCCTGTGATCATGTGTAGGCCCACCTGGGTAGTCTACCTTCTGAGTGGCCCAAACTCAACTGATGAGTAACCTTCATTACATTTGCAAAAATCCCTTTGCCATTTGACGTGACATAATCACAGGAGTAACACCCCCTCACATTCACAGGTTCTGCCCCCACTGAAGAGAGGCAGTTATATGAGGGTGAAGTGTCATGAGGGTCTTAGAGTTCTGCCTACCACAATAGTCACAACATTAGATGTGGCTTAAAAAAATCATTACCACCAACAGTTGCAAATTGACTGTATTTTGGTATGATTCTGTTGCCTTAAAGTACCTTTTCTCACTTACTGTAGATGATCTGGAAGTTGCCTACCAAAAGCTGAGTCATCTCATCAGAGAGTACCTTGGGTTGTCTGAGGAAACATCCAAGAATTTGGCTCCAACTGCAGGTACTACCCTCTCCCTTTTGTGCCAGGAAAACAAGTCTGTGAATTGCTATTTAGGTACTCGTTGAGCAGGCTCAAGCTGGTTCTAACTCTTTAATCCCTGTCCTTCCTCCGGTGTGACGGTCCCCACAAGTGAGCCGTGTGAATCAGCCCCCGGACCTGTCCCTCTCCCTGTCTGGGTGGCCTTAGCGGCACTCACAGGACTGTCCTTCAGGGACATGCTGGCCACTGCCTCCTTGGAGGTTTATGGTAAATAAGCGCCAGCCTCCCGGTTCAGATCTCAACCTTCTAGAAGTTTGGCTCCCTTAGGGAGCTGACGTGGCGTTCTGCTCAGCAGGTTTGTATTTAGCATTGTTTTAATCCAATAGGTTAATCCTTTTCTTTGCATTGCCACAGTCCTCCAAGTGTGATACTAGAGAGGATAGTAGAAGAGCATGGTCAGAGGGTATGAGCCTGGTTGTGGCCCTCCCGCTCCCTTGGGCAAGCTGCTTTGCTGTTTGGAGCTTCAGTGGACTGTCCTGCTAGATGGAGTTAATGCTCTCCATTAAAGGAGAGTTAATGCCTCATGGAGTATCCGCAGCAAACGACATGGGCTGTAGAGCCGTGTATCTCCTCAGAATCCAGGAATTCTAAAGCCCTAACTTAGAATTTTGGTACCTGAGTATTTTGAGATGCATTTAGAAGGTTCTCCCCAATCCACTTCACTCCCACTGAGATGGCTAACTATGAAAAAAACGACAGAAAATACGTGTTGGCAAGGATGTAGAGAAGTTGGGAAGGTAAAATGGTATAGCTCTGATGGAAAACAGTATAATGTTCCTCAAAAAATTAGAAATGGAATTACCATATGATCTAGCAATTCCACCTCAGGGTATCCAGAAGAATTGAAAGCAGGGACTTGCATAGGTCCTTGTACACCAGTGAATGCAGCATTATTCACAGTAGCTGAGAAGTGGACAAATACTGTCTGATGCCACTTTTATGAGGTACCTAGAGTAGTCAAATCCACAAGGACAGCAAAATGGAATGGTTGCCAGAGGCTGGGGGAGGGAGAGGAATGGAGTGTTGTTGCTTAACAACTACAGAGTTTCACTATTACAAGATGAAAAGAGCTCATGGACTTGGTTGCACAACAATGTGAATATATGTAACACAACTGAACTGTACAGTCCTCCATGAATGCCTGTTTGTGCACGGGGCACACTTTCTTCCGGTCCTCTGAAGGTGGGAACTCATACCCTGGTCACCTGTCTCCTAGAAGACATACGGAGAAGGACAGCCTCACTCTGTTATCTGTTGGTTGTTACCAGTTTCACACTGACCTTGTTCCAGAATTCCAAGGGTACCTGACCTGAAAAGAATGTGTAAAATTGCAAAAGGGCACCATCAGTTTGAACTCTGGCAAAATCGTGGCCAGGCCTGCCTCAACCTGGCCAGTGAAATCCTAATTGGGCCAAGAGTCACAAAGGCTAAAAGCACACGAACACACAGCAAGCCAGGGTCTCACGTCAACGTTTTACAATATGATATGTGAAAGCAGTTCAGCCCACTGGAGGGGACCTTCTTTTTCTTCATTAGGGTGGTAAAAATACACATAACATAAAGTTTGCCATCTTAACCATTTTTAAGTGTACAGTTCAGTTGTGTTACGTATATTCACATTGTTGTGCAAGGGGGGACATTCAGTGAGGAGCGTGCCTGTGTGTTTATCCAGTACTGCTCCCATCAGTTCTCTAGAAAGCCGTCCGTGCTTGGCAGGGTGCACAGTATATCTCACGAGGCTTTGGTAGCTGGATAGAAGTGTCTCATGAGGAAATCTGACCCTCTTTGCTTTTACTCTTTGCTAACCCAGCAACTTCTGATGTTTAATTTGGTCTCCTGGGTGGAGCTGTCCCATTGGGGGCGCTCTCCTACGTTAGAACACCCTGCCCTGACCCCTGAGCCGGGCCCATCTCCCACTGTAAATTAATGAGTTGGTGTTCTGACTTTTAAATCAGCCCCTTGTGGATTTAGATGAGCGTGAGTCAGTCCCCCCGAGCCTGAGCAGTTCTGAGGAACGGAGAGAAGCATGTTTGTCAGTCCGTAGCACAGAGGGCACCTCTGAGATGTGGCGCTTGAGCAGGACTCTGCCTCTAAGCCAGTGGGGCTCCAGCCCTCCATCTTTCCATATTGTGCAACCACCAGGACGCTGACTATTGGGTGCAGTTGCCATTTGGCCAATTAATAGACCAGATAATGTGTGCATAGGAAAACAGACTCCCATTTCAAAGGGTATAATAAAACTTCATTTATTTGGACCAATTAGGTTCGGCTTGTCTGATTTAATGGAAAGTATGAACTACAGAATTTGTTAAAATGTTACCCCTCTCAGATACATTTAATAACAGAAACTGGGTCATCCAGTTACTGACTAATAGAGCCTCAGCTTTAAAAAGTAGAGGGGAGGGTTTATAATTAATACATCAATTCCCTGACCTCCGTAGACCCCCATTTTCCTGGCAGGTTTAGTGTTTCGGAAAATAATGTGTTTTCTTAAGAAGCCACACCACTTCATTTTATTTAAATAGTCAATCTGTGGAAGATGTTACTGTCTTCAGTTGCTGGTTTCAGGATAAACTTGCACATAAAGTGACTTTGTGGAGGCCAGACATGATTCAAGTGAGTATTTAAAAATTCTAAGAGCATAGTCCTTCCTAATAAAGCTTTTAAAGGATCTCTAGTGCATTAAGAGTAGAGCCAACGGCCTCTTGGCGTTTCAGGGCTGTAAAGTGTATGTCAAGAAGGACAGGCCCAGATGTTCACAGGTTCACTGCAGGCGAGCAGGGCCCAACCATAACCACCTCAAAATGAGCGTCATGACTCCCCAGAAAGAGACCAGAGCCCCAGCAGGGTCAGCACCCCAGGCCTGGCTGGCTCTTAAATTTTTGCTTCCATTCTGAGCTGGGTCCCTCTGATTTTAAGTTCTGTAGTTCAGGTATGTTTACATAAAGACTTATATTAGTTACTTAAATGTAAGTGAGACCCCTAGAAGAAAAGATGAATAATTTTAGCAGAGTGGAATATTTTTAATATTTAATTGAGCTGTCAAAGGTAAGAAATTGAAGTAAAAAAATATTTAAGAGTCTATGAAAGGCAGTCTGAACAATTAGAAAATTGAACTGGAAATAGGAAACCTTAGTTTTGTATTCCAGATTTCACCAATAATCATTAATTTGATTAGAGAAATCACTTTGAACTTCCATTTCTAAAAATTTCTAAAAAACAAGGCCAACTACATTTAATATTATGGAACATTCTAGAATTTGCTGAGATTTTTCCCAGTTAGATTAGACTGCCTATAAGTTAGGCTCCAGTACAAATCGAAATCTGGTGGCCAATGGTATTGTTTTCATGGAAGCAGGAATCCTGTACCAATGCCAATTGGGAAGTATTCCTAGATATTTGAAGTAATAATACATAGCTTTATCTTTAGTAATTTCATGTTGCTAATTTGTAACTGAGGATGCAATTTTAATTTCTACTCTTAATGATGAAACTAGAACAAAGTCATAAAAGTAAGCCTGAAGTCTATCAGTATAACAACCGCATCCGTCTGGACCCAGAAATGCAAACCTTTACCAGAGGAGAGACTCCGAATTTCCATTAAATGCACGTACAAATAGTAACTTTAGGTACAGAGTGATTATAAAACCTCAAAATACTGAGATGTACATTAATTAAAAATGTTTATCAACCATGGTACGGATGATCTTATTTTTCTTCCCCTATAGCAGTGCAGGTAATATTCATTTCCAAAGCATGAAGACTAAAAAAATCCTGAGCAAACAATACAGTTTTTATGAAATAAGAAAAAACTCACTCTATTCACAACTCAGTGTAAGGGACGTCTTTACCCTCCATGTGTCTCTATACAACCTATTTCTGGAATACTTATCTGGTGCTCCCAATAAAGCTTTTAAAAAGCTGATCCAACTACCACTCTGAGTTCCTGCTATAGAAATCATAAAATAAAATTATATTTGCAAATCATTATTTAGATCTAACTAATGATAGAGGAAAATGATGATGGTGATGATGAGTCAAACAGGGGCACTTGAGCAATTTACTACTCCCCATGTGATGCTTTATCTCTAATAAAGGACAGGGTATCATTTGCCAAATGATGTGAATTGTTGAATTCTAAAAGTGGGGAAAAAATCCTTGTGTGTCTGATTCTAGGAAACCAGGGGTTTACAAATAGAGCCTTCAGCATTGGGTTTCACTCTTATGCCTTTCTATTTTTTTTTATTTCTTTTTTTGTGTGTGTGTGATTAAAAAACCATAAAATTAGCCATTTTAGCCATTTTAAGTATACAACTTAATGGCATTAACTACATTCACAGTGTTGCATAACCATCCCAACTACCTGTTTCCAAAAGTTTTCACCCCTCCCACGCAGAAACTCCATTCCCATTAAGCAATAACTCCCCTATTAGCCCCTGGTGACCTCTAATCTACTTTCTGTCTCTATGAATTTGCCTATTCTAGACATTTTTACTGTTCTTATATTTTAATTTAGCCTTGTTTCTTGACTAAATTTGTATTTAATCTATAACTGTCATGAACTAGGGAGATAGGAATGATGAGCAGGGCCATCCCCTCAGAAACCCCACAAGGAGGCAAACGTTTCCTTGTCCCCACTCTTCCCCAACCCCTCCCCAGAAACGTCTGGTTCAGCTGGAGGCACAGGGTATCTGCCCAGACGAGGAGGTTCAGGGATGACCCAGAGTAGTCCAAGCTCATCTTGCTTTGTCGGGGAGAATGGACAGTGGCCGGGAGCCTGGTTTGCTTCTGGGGCTGGACCACCCTGGGGTCACCTTGGAGGTCTGACTTTGTTTGCAGTCTCTGAGCATCAGGTCTCCCTCAAAGTGGGCTGAGACTAGTTTCTTCAAGGCTGTTCCACACTGGTGTGCCCTGCCCCTGGCCACAGCATTTCAGAGCCATGTCCTTAGGACTCGGTTAAG